TATGTGTCTTGGTGTTGTCCTCCTTGGATCCTTTCTGTTGGGGGTTCTGTATAATTCCATGGTCTGTTCGATTATTTCCTCCCCCAGTTTGGGGAAGTTTTCAGCAATTATTTCTTCAAAGACACTTTCTATCCCTTTTCCTCTTTCTTCCTCTTCTGGTATCCCTATAATACGAATGTTTTTCCTTTTGTATTGGTCACATATTTCTCTTAGTGTTGTTTCATTCCTGGAGATCCTTTTATCTCTCTCTATGTCAGCTTCTATACGTTCCTGTTCTCTGGCTTCTATTCCTTCAATGGCCTCTTGCATCTTATCCATTCTGCTTATAAATCCTTCCAGGGATTGTTTCACTTCTGTGATCTCTTTCCTGACATCTGTGATCTCCTTCCGGACTTCATCCCACTGCTCTTGCATTTTTCTCTGCATCTCATCCCACTGCTCTTGCATTTTTCTCTGCATCTCATCCCATTGCTCTTGCATTTTTCTCTGCATCTCTGTCAGCATGTTCATGATTTTTATTTTGAATTCTTTTTCAGGAGGACTAGTTAGGTCTGTCTCCTTCTCAGGTGTTGTCTCTGTGATCTTTGTCTGCCTGTAGTTTTGCCTTTTCATGGTGATAGAGATAGTTTGCAGAGCTGGTACAAGTGACCGCTGGAAGAGCTTCCCTTCTTGTTGGTTTGTGGCCTTTTCCTGGGAGAATAGCGACCTCTAGTGGCTTGTGCTGGGCAGCTGTGCGCAGACAGGGCTTCTGCTTCCTGCCCAGTTGCTTTGGGGTTTATCTCTGCTGTTGCTGTGGGCTTGGCCTGGCTGGGGCTGTTCCTCCAAAATGGTGGAGCCCCGTTGGAGGGGGAGCAGCTGGGAGGCTATTTATCTCCGTAAGGGGCCTCTGTGCTCCCTGCTGCCCAAGGGGGTTAGAGTGCCCAGAGATCCCCAGACTCCCTGCCTCTGGTCTAAGTGACCTGTCCTGCCCCTTTAAGACTTCCAAAAAGCACTCCCCTTCACAAGACGCTGGGTTCTTGCAGGTGTGGATGTGGTCTGGATGTTGTCCTGTGTCCTGTGGTCTCTATTTTAGGAAGATTTTTCTTTGTTATATTTTCATAGCTCTATGTGTTTTTGGGAGGAGATTTCCACTGCTCTACTCATGCCGCCATCTTGGCTTCGCCCCTTTGGTGTTCCTTTTTATAGTTTTGTTCATGTTTCTTGTGTCTGTAGTTCATTGAGCATCTTGGATCTGAGGATCTATAGTTTTCATCCAACATCAACAAATTTGGGAAATTTTCAACCATTATTTCTTCAATTGTTTTCTACTTTTGACCCTCTTCTTCAGGTATTCCAAGTACATGTTTGTTTGACTACTTGAAGTCATTCCATAGCTCACTGATATGATATTTTTAAAAATCTTTTTGGATAGTTTTTATTGCTATGCTTCATATTCACTTATCTTTCTGCAATGTCCAATCTGCTATTAATCCCATTCAGTGTCTTTTTCTTTAACAGATCATATCCAGACATTTGATGTGGGCATTTTTAAATATCTCTCATGTCTGTATTTAATGTGTTCAGTCTTTTCCCTAGCTTCTTGTACTTATGGAATGCAGTTATAATAAGTATGTTAAAGTTTTTGTGTGTCTTTAAATGTAGTTGAGAAGAATATTGTGACAGAATATATTGGTAAATGACCAATAATTTGGAGTTTGAAATTGTATCCAAAATTACCTCTACAAATTAAATGTGTTCCCCAAAAATTAGGCTAAATGACATTTACCTGTTGGCTATTGGTATTATTAAAAAATCACTATCATCTTTTCTGAAATTTCACAGAGTATAGGTGAATTTCTTACAAGAACTCTTTAAAGAATGAGAATAGGGTCCATTCAGAGAGTATGAACTCCACAAGCTGGATTTCTAGGGCCACTGATTTGATCATATCTATGTTACCAATGCTTTTGTCCACACTTGCATAAAATTCTTATCACTATCATGAAAAATGGAAAATGGTTCAGTATTTACTAAACATTAAGTGCCCTTGACTGCTTTCCTTTTGCCTGTTACAGAGTCAAAGATCGCTGAGAAGCAGGTGACAACTAAAAGCCAAGTGGTTGCAACCTGCCTGGGAAACCCTATTGCTCAATCTTCAGGCTCAGAATCCCCCATAGTGTACCTGAAGGACATTGTGTGTTACCTGTCCCTTCTGGAGACAGGGAGACCACAGGATAAGCTAGAGTGTAAGTACTCACCCTGTCAAGGTGCTTCAACTTTCTCCTAGAGGAAGGGCTATGTTCTGTCCATCATTCTAAACATGCTGGAGATTGATCTGCAACCATGGGTATGGTCCTGTTCCATGGGGGAAGTTTTTCTGTATTGTCCTGTGGTGATGTAAACATTTCTTAGTAAATGCGAACACCACACTAGTGGTGATGTAAACATGTCCACCCTGGGACATGGTTATAGAGAATGGGAAGTGCATCTGAGACTTTGGTATTGAGCACCAGGATTTAGAAAGGAAAGGGGCTTCTACAGGGGGTCAAGACTCCCTTCCTTTGTTGGCAGGACTTTCTGAAAGCTTGCAATCAGAAAACTGCTGCCTCCTAGTCATAGATTTTTCAAGGGACGATATTCACCACTGTCTTCCTTTCCCTATTCCTTGCCCAAGCAACTCTCTATGAGGAATTCTGTTTATTTCTTGAAAATCACCCTCTAGCTTGTTAAAACTTATTTCTCCTTTCCCTATTCCTTGCCCAAGCAACTCTCTATGAGGAATTCTGTTTATTTCTTGAAAATCACCCTCTAGCTTGTTAAAACTTATTTCCATTTTTTTACCCACCCCTACCCCAAGTTTTTTAGTCTCTAGAGGAAGAAAGTTAGTTAATTAAGGAAGTTGAGCTTGGTTTCATCCTGCTACTAAAGTTGGTTTCAAAAACATATCTTCAGGAGGAGAGTAATAGCTGGCGGCAGAAAGGAAAACCCACAGTGGCTGGAATAGCCTTCAGTCTCATAGGTCACTCACTCCAGGGATGATCTCTCTGGCTTCTGTGAGCCTACAGACAAATTTTTAAAATAGGAGATGACATGACCTTATTGAAAAGACATATTGTTTTGCCTTCTCTTGGGAGCTTAGTAGACATCAAGGGAAAACATACATTATAGCAAAACTCAGAGTTCCAGTAATAATAAGACTAGTCAACAAAACTTAATAATTAGCAAGGAAAAGTCTGGCACTGGTTAACCCTTGCCAAAAACAAAATGAAACAGTTTGCTCATTAGCTGAGCTCAAAATCTCCCCCATAGGTTTGAGGTGTTAACAACTGCAAGTCTTAAGTTCTATTTTAGAAGTAAATGTAGCAGATTTTTCTGTTTCTGCTGGCTGTTAAAAGTAAAATGTCAAATTATTTCCAATATTCAGCTGGATTTTGAGTTTTAGGCATTGTATTTATTCATTACTACCAAAGATGTGGCAGATTCTTCATACTAGCGGCTCTCAGACTGAGTTTTGTAATGGCAATAAAAAGAAACTGCACTTTTAAAAACTTTTTATTATAGAAAATTTCAAATAAAAACAGACGACTACAGTGAACTTCCAAGTACCCATCAGCCCCCTTCAGCAAGCTCTTGCCAATTTATGGTCAGTTGTGTTTGATTTATACCTCACACTCATTCCCTCTGCCCCAGATTATTTTGAAGTAAATTTCAGACATCACATAATTTCACCTGCAAATTTTTCAAAATGTACCTCTAATGTAAGACTCTTTCTTAAATATAACCACAACACCATTATCACATTTAAAGACAATGATTCCTTACTATTACTAAACATTCAGTCACTATTCACATTTTCCTAACTATCTTATATATTTTTATTTGTTTGTTTGAATCAGGATTCAAGTAAGTCCTACACATTGCCATTGATTCTTATCTCTCTTCAGTGTCTTTTAATCTTTTGCTTATTTTTTTCTTTGCAGTTTTTTGTTGCAGAAACTTGGTCATTTGTCCTGTAAAGTATTCATCTTGCTTTCTCTTTAATTAGACCTAGTTAATTCTAATCTTCCCCTGATTTTAATGATGGAAAACAAACAGCTTTCTTTTTTAATAACCAAACATGTATCTTTTTTGAAATAGCAGCCTGAACTCTCACCTATCATCAGTGCAAAACAACAATAATAACTCTCATCATTGAGCACCTCGCATTTGCTAAGCACTTTAAATGCATTATCTCGTTTTAACTTCACAATAACCCTAAATGGTCAGTATGATTATTGTCATTTTACATGTAAGTAAGCACAGAAAGTTAAATGACTTGCCAAAGGCCTTTCTGCTAAACCATAAGATGCTTACTCCCAATCTCTTGTTCTACTTTTCATGCACAGTAGAATCAAGAGAGCTCCATGTTAGAAAGCTGCCCAGGCCAGGGCCCAGGGACAACATGAGTGGAAAGTTCTGTCCCTGTTTACATCATTTAACCATCTGTTTGGCAAGTCAGCCTCATATACTGAGTGCCTCTGATCAGGACATTCTGAGGACTCACGAAAAATTGGAAGCCCATGACCCTACTTTTTTTTTTAATGTATCATTAATCTACAATTACATGAAGAGCATTATGTTTACTAGGCTCCCCCCTTCACCAAGTGCCCCCCACAAACCCCATTACAGTCACTGTCCATCAGCGTAGTAAGATGCTACAGAATCCCTACTTGTCTTCTCTGTGTTGTACAGCCCTCCCTGTGCCCCCCACACTACTAATCGTAATACCCCCTTTCTTTTTCCCCACCCTTATCCCTCCCTTCCCACCCATCCTCCTCAGTCCCTTTCCCTTTGGTAACTGTTAGTCCATTCTTGGGTTCTGTGATTGTGCTGCTGTTTTGTTCCTTCAGTTTTTTCTTTGTTCTTATACTCCACATATGAGTGAAATCATTTGCCATGATCCTACTTTAAAGAACTTGAACTCCAAACACGATCACACCACTGAACAAACACAAGGTACCGAAACATCAAAATATGTAGAAGGAAATGATGACAGCAGGGCAGTGTAGCAGTAGTGCTGTTCCCTGGCCGGTACATGCTGAGCCATCCCGAGAGGCTGCATGAGGGAAGGTCAGGCAGGGGAGGCTCCAGAGGAAAAGTGGGTGTCGAAGGGTTTGAAAGAATAGGAGGAAACCGAGCATGCTCAGCTCTGCTCCTCCATCCTGCTTACTTCTGAGACCACAGGCAGGGTCTCTACCTTTTAGATGAATGAAATGCAACTTTCCAGGTCCTATAAATGAACATTTAGTCCTTTGCCTAAATTTCTCTCCCACATCTTACTTATCCTACATTACCTCCTGATAGCTGGAACATGATAGAAGATGCTTCTCAATAGCATGGTGACATTTTAGAAAAAAAAATAAGACTTCTACAATAGTAACTACTTCATAGTGCTATTGAGGATTAAATGAAATACTGATAAAATGCATAGGCCAGTACTATACACATTAAATGTCATATGTAAATGTTCATTAATGAAGAAAAATTAAATAAATAACATCTGCTGAGTGCTTTCTAAATTCCAAGCACTGTGGATTTGGCATATTATTTACATATTAATCTTCATTTTAAAAATCAAGGAAAAAGAAACTATTATAATCTCCATTTTACATATAATGAAAATGAGCCCAAAGAAGTTAAATGACTTGTTTGATATCCTTGATATGAATCTGCCTAACTCCGCACTCTTCCTGTGTGCAGTAGAAGCAATGTCCCGGCTTTAATGCCTGTGCCTCTGCCCCATTACAAGCTGGGAATTTGCTTTAGCAGTGTTCCAGTGGTGCTGAGATGTATGCATGCTCTACAGGGAATCACACTCGTGACCTGGATCTCATCAGCTGCTGAGTTATTGCTTAGACAGGTGCAGATGCCAGGTGGCTTGACTTTCCTTCCCCTTCCTACCCTCTTTGTAAGGGGTCAGACTCTGTGCCTTGGAGGGTGGGTGGGCTGGCTGCAACAGCCTTCTTCCCAGTAGTGATTAGAACTGATCTAAAATCTGGCAATATCGAAGACAGTCTGTCACTGGTGCCTGGAGGACCCCTCAATCCTCACTTCTGTCTCTCTTGCAGTCATGTTTCGTCTCTACGATTCAGATGAGAACGGTCTTCTGGACCAAGTGGTAAGCTCTTGCTCCAGATATCTCTTCTGGATCCAAGAAAGGCTTGGGGAGAAGGGAGCAGGGGAAGGAGGAGTCTTAAAATTCTCAGTTCCATCTTTATAGGAATAACAATGTCTCAGTAAGAGCTGCAGAAATCTTAGTAGAACTTCCCACCTTCTACTTCCAAAGAGCCAGCCTGGAGGAAAGTAAATTCCAACTTTCCTTTTATTCTGGAAGCCTAGGATCATAAAATCTCAGAATGGAGAAATGCTTTCATATCTCACTTACTTTAACTTCCCAGTCAGTTCAGAAACTCCCCTGCTATCTCCTGCTAGAGCCCAGGGGTGTTGGGGAGGGGGTAGGAAAGGCAGCAAGACCCAAGCAAGGGGACAGGAGGAAGGTAGTTAAACTCCTGGTGTGCTTTGGCCCAGTGCTTGGCCTACATACCAGGGCACTAGCTCAAGAACTCTCGTTCTTACTATTCTGAGTACACGTTTCATCCCATTGTACCTGGGAAAGCCTGAGACTACCCCCCACCCCACCCCTGACTACCTCTCAGGAATAGGTCAGAAATCATGGATTGAGCAGAAGGAGGGCAAAGGAAGAAGGCAGAGAGCGGGGAAGGCCACTAGAGTGAGACAGGCCCTGCCCTCAAGACTGGCAGTGTGGAAGATGGAACTCATTAACAGAAAGGCCCTGAGACTGAGGGGCATGGGGCTGAGTCATAGCAGATGGAGGAAGGAAAGAAACGAGTCTACTAGACCAAACAAATCATCCCAATTCCCTCTAAACCCCAGGGTGCCTTTATGGAGGATCCCTACAGCCACACTGCAATGCTGTGCACTGGGTCACCCACAGGAACAGCTGGAGAATCACAGGCTCTCAAGCAATTGGTCAGCACATATATGTTGAGTGTCCACCACATGGCAGGCACTATTCCAAGCACTGGGGATCGATACATCAGTGAAGACAGCTGACAAAAATTCATGCCCACATGAAGCTTGCATTCCAGTGCAGGCACATACACTAAACAGCATAGTAAAATATGTGTTAGACAGAGATGTGTGCTACCCAAAAAATACAGGAGGGAAAGCAAATGTCAGAGGGGCCAAAGAAGGTCTCCCTGAGGAGAAGACCTCTGAAGGAGGCAAGGGAGTAAGTCGTTGAGATATCTAGAGGAAACACCTTCAACGCAGAGGGAACAGCAAGTGCAAATGTCCTGAAGTTGCCTGGAATGTTAGTGGATTAACTAGGAGGCCAGAGTAACTGGAGAAGAATGAATGAATAGATGAGGTCAGGGTGAACAAGTAATAAGAGATGAGATCAGAGAAGTAATGCAATCAGAGGAAGTCATGGAGTTTGCAAAGCATATTAAGCCTTATAGGTGATCAAGGGTGTTTAATCTTTTACACTGGAGAAATGGAGAACTACTAGGGATTTTGAGCACAGGAATGACATGACTGAAATAAGTTTTAACAGGATCACTCTAGCTGTGTGTTGAGACTAGACTATAGGGGTGCAAGCAGAGATACCAGTTAGGAGGCCACTGAAATAAGCAAGATAAGAAATGATGGTAACCTGCACCAAGGTAGAAGATTGCTGGTGATAAGAAGTGGTTAAATTCCAGATATATTTGGAAGATAACTTCGGTAGGCTGACCGAATCTCAAAAGAGATAACCTGATTGCACTTCTCACTGAGGACCACTAGCAGAGAGACGCCCAGCCTCTTTGTGAACACTCCCATAAAAGAGGGTTCACCCACTACGTTAGGACAGCCACTCCTCTGCTGTCTGTGAGAGAGGGCTGCCTTCCTGCACAAAAGGCACCTCTAATCTGCCAGGGAAATTTTCAGCACAAAACCTGACTCCACTCTGCCTTCCCTTCCGCCAGCCCAGTAGTGAGGCCAAAATAGGCCAACCCTCAACTCTTCCTTCCCTCCATCCCTCGGCTTCCTGCTGCCCTCTGTAGTTGATTAATGTAATACTGATTCTACTTAATAGGCCTGTCAGTATTTGAAGGTACTATCACATCTCCCCTAAAATCTTCTCTAAGCTCAAATTTCCCAATTTCTACACTGCTTCTCATAAAGCAGGCATGACTCTCCACTCTGGTCAGCCTCTGGTTTCCTAATACCATTCTTAAAATACAGCACAGAACTGAACCCACCCCTCCACGTCTCTTTAAGAATCCACATGTGGCCTGACCAGGGTAGACATCAGGGGAACTGGTTCTTGAAAATGCCTACCCATTTACACAGCCCAGGACAGAGTCTCATTCTCAGTTCCTGAGTCATACTACTTTCTCATTCAATCTTGGACCAACTAGATCCACAAACACTTTTTCGTTGGAGATTCTGTTAGGCTCTGTCTCTACTTTTCTGCCCACTTCCTTACTCTATCTCCTATCTTATCTGCAGTTTTCCAGTGGGTTATTTAAAAGTTAAGTGAAATACAGGTTTTAAATCCCTATTGGGTTTTAACTTGCATGTTTTGACCCCGCATTCCACCTGGTGAAGGTAACTTTTGAACCTTGCTTCAGTTCACCAATTCAAGATAAGTCCCCCCAAATCGATCTTGCTATGAACATTGTAGATGGTGCCCAAGGATGCAGATGCCTCCCCAGCCCAGTGTGTTTCAGTGGGACTCTTAGTGCACTAATTCACTAACATCCAACAATTCTATGAGGTTTTAGGAAAAGCCACACAAAAGGCTCACTCAGTAGGCTCAAACATATTCCTCGTGAATTTCCTGTCCACAGAGTCCTGGGCTCGGAGCATGGACATGATACAACAGGAACAGGGAGATGCCTAAAGGAATCTGAATCATAGTGCCTGTGCGAGGACCAACTCGGTGGTACTACACCCCACTGAAATTTCCCCTGAGAGGGATAGATGGATTCCAAGTTACTAAGGCTATAGGAGGAGATATCTGCCTTAGTTTGTAATTGTTTAAGGGAGCTACAGTCACAAAGGAGGGGACGGGGATTCTTTCTATGTTTCTCTAAATCAAAGCACAGAATGGGGGAAGGAAGGTGAGTCCAGGTGGATCCCCCAGTGAGCTTTCTGCCTATCTCTGGCTTGTCTGTGTTCTATGCTTCTTGTGAGCATCTACTCTCCACTGAGCTTTGAGGTCCAGACAGAACTAAAGAGCAGAAACAAATGGTGAGCTCTTTGTGAAATGTCAGTATATTGCACCATCTGGTTCTCACATTCTGCCCATCTTCCCATGGGGTTAAAAATGCACCTTCAGTTGGTCTCTCCCTTTGGTGTTTTCCAGGAAATGGATCGTATTGTCAACCAAATGCTGCACATTGCCCAGTATTTGGAGTGGGATCCCACGGAGCTGAGGCCTGTGAGTTTCTGAAAGCAGGGGGTAACTTCCAAGTAAGCTTCTGAGATGAGAGTGGGACACAATCAAGACTTGGAAACAAATGTTTACTGTGTAGGCTCTGCCAGACTCATCTTCTCCAGGGTCCTACACTTGACCTCCCACTTCTCTGATAGGAAAGGTTATAGGCAACAGAGGAAAACACCAACATAAATCAAATAATAATACCTAGTAACACCCCCTAACCTTTTTACCAGAGCTAAATTTTTAAACAAGAGTTCATAGGTCAAAGAATTTAGAGCTAGAAAGAATTTTAAATATTTTTCACAATTACCAGATAATAATAATTACATTTTGGGGCAGCTGTGAGTCAGGTATTACATTTGATATTTTATGTACATTTTCTCAAATCATCACAACAGTGCTGCAAATATTGCAATATTATTTCCATTTTACAACTGGTCAAACAGAACCCAGAGAGTCAGGCTGGCTTGCCCAAGACCACACAGTCAGGTCAGGGCAGAGCCAGGTCTGGAACTCTGGTCTCTTCACCCCCACTTGCTCCCTCTCTGTTCTGCTAACTATGAATCAGAGGACAAAGGGGGTAAACCACAAGCCATATAATACAGAGCAAAAGAGAAAGAAAGGGCAGAGGGAGGCAAAGAAGTCAAGGAGGCAAGTGGACAATTGTTGCTCTGTGGATTCCGCAGATATTGAAGGAGATGTTGCAAGGGATGGACTACGACCGGGACGGCTTTGTGTCTCTACACGAATGGGTCCATGGAGGGATGACCACCATCCCACTGCTCGTCCTCCTGGGCATGGACGACTCTGTAAGTCAGCAAGCCCAAGTTCAAGGAGCTCTTTCCTTTCAGGAACATCAGGCTCCATGTGGAAGTTAATACCTACACATTGCCTTGGCTTCAGCCCTGGGCTTCCCAATAGACACACCGTGTGCTCTAGGCCAGCCCAGAAGTCCTCCCTTTTGGCCTGTAGTGCCTGAAATATATTCACTCATTTGGCAGGTATTTATTAAATTATTACTAAAGATATTGTTCTGAGCACTGTGGAGGGACACAAATACAATATTCACTCACCAGAAGCTTATACTCAACCAAGCAAAGGGAAAAAAAATTCAAGGAAGAATTCCAATTTTAACACAAATTAGGTTAAAACATGCTAAGATTGTTGGAGAAGGAAGAAAAGAAAAAATACTGATCTGTTGTGAGGTGGAGGGCATTTAATGATGTTATCTAACAATCAAACAGATAATAGTAGATTTTATTTTTCCCAATGTACACAGATGGAAAACTGAGGTTCTGAACCCAAAGAGGAAAAGGGAAGAGCCAAAATTTGTTTGTACTTGACCCCAAAGATCCTGCACTTTCTATCTTCACACACTTAAGAGTGAAAAACTGGGACGAAATCTTCAAGGGTGTTTGCCCTGGCCCTGAGAGGTGTATGGAGTTTTGATATCTATTCTTGAGTGTAAAAATCAGGTAGAAAGACTGAGGAGGATGTTTGATCTGATTCTCAAACATGGGTATGATTTGGCTAGTAGAAGATGATAGAGGAGAGAGTTTGTGGCCAAGAAAATAGCTTGATCAAAGACTCAAATGAAGGAAAGTTCAGGATGCATCAGAGAAACCTCCTGGCTTAATCAGAGTAGGGGATACAGGTGGAGGCTTAATGTGAAGTCAGTGGTTATATATGCCTGCATCTGACCTAGTCTGCTTATTTTCCAAGTAACTTAATAAATGAGGTGGCGAAAGTTAGAAGTAGGAGTACAAATGGTCACATTAACCATTTACACAGAATTTGCGGCAATACTCTGAGATTACTGAAATGTCATATAAAGAGGAACAGAACAGAAAGTTCAGCTGAGTTAGCCTGTAGCTGACTGTCATTACCTGTAATGTCTTCAACTGACATTTGGTCCTGCTGTTCAGGACCAAAGCTGAACCTTCATTTCCAACACTTGAGAACTAAGAATCCTGCAGTCATGTTATAGCATGTCCAGTTCCTTCCAAGTGCTGAGTAGAAATCAAGGAAAAGAATCTACACAACTCCCTTCTTATTCTTTAGAACCCTAGAAAGCCAGAGCCAGAGAAGACCGTGGTGATCCCTAGTCTATCCCCTTCATTTTACAAACAGAGGGACAGAGAGATAAAGGGATTTACCCAAGGACAAATCCCTGGTTAGTACCAGAGGCCAGCCTCCATATTCAGGAACAGCAGACCCCTCTTTCAATGATCCCTTACTAAGAACCTACTATATGCAAGAATCTACATGAGCTAGAACGTGGGGTACTCTGCTAAGTAAGATACACTTTCAACAATCAATATTCACTCAAGATTATATGTAAATCAAAGTGGAAGTTCTGCTTGGATGCTGTTCAACATACTTGCTTATTATCTGAAACATGGGAATGGAGATAGGACATTTTAATCATAAGGAACCAATTTCTATCTTCTATTCTATTTTGGACTTCTAAGTCCAAAGTGCCACCAACTCTTTTCAGGAGTGGATCCACTGTGTTATGGATGAAGGAGGGAAAGACAGACTATTTCTGTCTTCCCCAAGTGTCCTCCCCAAATGCCAAATCTGCCTTGTAGAAAACCATGATTTATATCAGGAAAGTAGCAAACAAAAAGCAAATGTGAATTTAGTTTTAATTAATCAAAATTTTCATGCATTTATTTTTAAATATGCAATAAACTATAAGTTTTCACATTTTATATTTGGTTGTTCTAGAGAAAGCATCCCTCCATGTCTTAAAAAAAATCTCATTGCTTCTTTAACTTCTTCAAAACCCACATATGGCCTCTGAAAAGTCTGGGGAATCTCTGAATGGGGTATATGGGAAACAATCTGTCTCCCAGTGAAATTACTGCGGCAGCACGAAACCTGGTTTGCACAAGGAAGATTACCTTCCACATCCTGCAGCCTGCACAGAGCAGAAATGAAAGAGCCACATGATGGTGCTCTAACCCAAGTAGAAATGTTACTTTATCCCAAGTCAGGGTCCTTTTGCTTCTTACCCTGTGTCTATGAAAAAAGTATCTGAGAAACTAATTGACTTAATTAATAAATGTATGTTCAGGTAAAATGACAGTCCTTTGGGCTACATGAAGAAGCTGGGTCTGCTGAAGAGTGCTGTGATTTCCTTTCTGTCCATGAAGGGAAAACCCTGGTTTGTGGAGACAGGAGAGAGGAATAGAAAGAGCTGGGCTCTCAGGTGGTTATTACATCACTTGTTACCTGGGTGGTGTGGGGCTATTTACATAACTTCTCTGAGGCTCTCTTTCTTCTAGTACAGGTGTAAAATCTACCTCCTTACACATAAGGAAACACTCTTTACTTACTTCATGTCACTTAGTGTTTAGCACGGAATAGAAACTTAATAAATGCATCAGGCACTGGATTAAGAGCTTTATTTACATGATTCATTTGATCCTTACCAAAATGCCTAGACAGGTGTTTATCAAAGGAATAAATGAATCAGTCTTTTAACGAATCATTTAATGAACTAGTAAATCTATTTACTAAAGTAGAAAACATTAGATTAAAAGATTGCAATTCCATAAAACTCAGCTTCTTGGAAGAAGCAGGGTTTGAGGTGGTGAGAATAAGAGAACTAAACCTGCCCCCAGGAAGAGCCCAGCATTTGAAAAAGCCCACACACTTCTCTACATACCTTAAGCACAAGAGTCTGGGCACAGGAGTGGTCTGGCTACTGTGACCAACGCAAACCGGAGGTGCCCAGAAGTAAGAGCTGGGCTTGAGTCGGCACACTATGTGCCTGACTCTGGCTCGCCACCTTTCTGCAGTAGTCTTCACTCCCCTTAAGATCCACCCAAGAGTGTTATTCTTTTGATGGAGCCTGAGAAAGTTTCAGGGACAGTACACATGGAGGAGTGGGTTCCCAGGGCCTGGAAGGTGGGAGGTTTGGTGTTCCAGGGAAGGTGTGGGATTGTATGAGGCATGGCTCATCCAGTGGATTAGGATGAATTTGGTTCTAAGCCAAGTCAGGAGGAACTGGGTCAACCCTCTGTCTCTGTCTTTACTATTTTATCCATGCACAGAAAGCTGATGAGAGGAATACATTGTTTTTACTAAACTATTTTTTCCTTATTATAAACCAGTACATGCTCTTTGTAGAAAATTTGAAAAACACAGAAGAAAGGAGAAATTAGACAGCAAAATAAATCTGTGGTACTGCTAGCTATAACTAACCTCTCTAAACAGTTTAGTAACCATTCTTCCCACCAAAGATCTTATGATATAAAACTGATCATAATATCAAATTTGCATTCTGCTGTTTGGCTTAGCATTGCACCGTGAGCACATTCCCATGCCATTAGATATTCTTGTAAGTATATTTTTGATGACCATCTAACATTAAGCCATATGGATATACTACAACTAACCTTTTGGTAATTTTGAGACCTTTAGAATAGTTCCAAGTTTTCATTATTCTAAATAATTCTGTGTTAAACTTCTGGCAGAGCAAAAAGTCATGCATCTGTTTTTCAAAAATTATTTCTTTGGGATAGAACCCAAGAAGGGAAATTTGTAAGTCAAAAGTTATAAACATTTGAGTAATCTCTAGATAGGTAGGTAGGTAGACAGACAGACAGATAGGCAAATAAGCAGACAGGAGGCAGATAGAAAGTTTGTTCTCAATTTACACATCCAGAAGCCATGGAAGACAGAGCTTATTTTATCCCACACATACATACCATCACTACTCAGATATTCCTAATTTTTAATATTTGCTAAGTTTAGAAGCACACACACAAAAGACTTTATTTTGACTTGTGTTTATTTTAAAAGAGTCCTTAAAATAGTTAAATGAATATCTTGTCTTCCAAGTATGAGAAGTGTCTTTGGAAAGAAGAAAAACCTACAGGCCGCGGCCGCTGGCTCCTGCTGTCGTCCGGTTGCATGTTCAGCCTCTCTGTCGCTTGCTATCCCTGCAGGGCTCCACGGGGGATGGGAGGCATGCCTGGACCATGAAGCACTTCAAGAAACCCACCTACTGCAACTTCTGCCACATCATGCTGATGGGCGTTCGGAAGCAGGGCCTGTGCTGCATTTGTGAGTAAACTTCCTTCAAACTCCTTTCCCAGGAACTGTCTTGTTCTGCACGTGGCTGAGCCATTCCAGAGAAAGTCTAGGTATCTCTGCTCCCTCATTTGAGGGACCACCCATATTGTTCCAACAGCATGGAATAAAGCAAGACCTTTGTGTCCTGTTTTAGTTCTACACAAATCAAATGGACAAGTACTGTCCTTTTGTTGGAGTCCTGTCATGGTCCACTGACTCCCTAGAAAACATTAATCAAGGTTTACACATAATTAAAAGATACCTCATATTAATTTTAGTTGGGTTTTGCTGGTAAATGTTTATTTCACATGGTCAAAAGAGACTGGGTTTTTTTTTTTAATTAATAAGCCCCTAAATATATATTCCTGCAATGGAATGAAATGGAAATGCAGTGGAAATTAAAACTATCCATTTGTTTCACTTCATAATGCATTTGGGTAAGTCAGACAGGAATGGAGAAAACACCTGTGAGAAAGGACAGAGGGAGACTGGAAAGGAGAACAGGAGAGAGATGGAAGGGAGGGAGGGAAGAAGGAGCACAGGGCAGGGGGACAGGAGAGGGCGGCATACCCTGTAGGTGCCGCAGAGTCCTGCCGACCACCACACCATACAGACCACAGACAATTGGCTGGAACAGAGACTGGGAGCCGCTGCCACGGGGAGAGCACTGGGGTGCAGTTCAGGCATTTTATCTAAACACACGCACATGAGCGCAGCCGCAAACAGGCTTGGCCACAAATATCTTAGCAGAGCTGGGCCCAAGGTCCACCCAGAGCAGACTAAAGAAGGGTCCCCACCAGTCTCTCCAGCTCCCACTCACCCCAGTTCTCACCTTTTACAGACCCAGTGTCATTCCTATTAGGCTATGGGCCTGTGGGCCTCTGCTGTTTGCATAGTCACAAGAACTAGTAATACTGACAACAATAATTCATAGATAGCTATTCTGACTCAGACACGTGGTGCTTTATACAAATGATCTTATTTAATGCTGCAAGAGCCCTGCAAAAGGAAAAAAAGCAATTTTATTCCTATTTCATAAAAAACCTGAATTTCAGAGACATGAAACAATGTACCCAAGATCACGTGGGTGGTTACAAATGGCAGAGCCAGAGTTAAGACCCAGGAATTTCAAACTCCAAAGTTAGGAAGACCCCTGCCCTTCCTATCCACCTCCCATCCCTGACATACAATCGGCATGTGAGGGCAATGACTCGTGCCCCCTTTCAGCAGGAAGTGCCCTTCTGGGGATGTTTGTCCCCCCATGTCCACTGCCCACTGCAAAAGGCAGTGTGGGGGGCGGAGGGCACAGAAGCACATCTGGGAGATAACCATGAACTGTCTTCTCAACGGGCAGCTGGAGACTGTTTGAGTCTCCATTAGGATGTCCAGCTCCATATGCCCCAGCCCCAGACTGGCCACACAGGGAGGCATGGGCCTCAGCTGCAGTGAGAGTGGGAGGATGATTGGACCTTTTCTGGGTGGGCACTCACAAGCACTTTCCTTATTTTTATTTTTCAGATTGTAAATACACTGTCCACGAGCGCTGTGTATCCAAAAATATTCCTGGGTGTGTCAAAACATACTCAAAAACTAAAAAGGGAGGCGAGGTAATACCTACTGCCTTGTTCTACTACATGCTGTGTCCCAGGCCACATGTCCATCACCACAGATTCCTGGGCAGGAAGGGGCTTTGGGAGCCTTATCCAGTCCCTTCTCTGCTTCGAGGACCACCCTTAAACCATCCCATTCATCCATCAATCATTCAGCATCTCCCTCGTGCTCACCATGTTTCAGGCATTGTACTAGGGGGTACACAAGATTAAGATGGTCTCCAGCCTGTTCTGGAACTCTGTAGTCTAGTGGAAGAGACAGGCATGTAAGCCAAAGAAGTGAGATCTGTGGTAACAGGGCTATGTGGGGTACCCACTTGAGTACCCAAGCCAAAGAAGTCTCTACTGTAAGGCATGGTCGCATGAACTGTTCTGAGATCAGTACTAGTTTGGTGTGACTGGGATGGAGGATGCTTAAAGGGAAGTGACAGAAGATGTGCTCTGAAAGTGGCAAGATTGAGCCAGGGGAAGGTCTTTGAAGCCACTGATGAGTTGGAAAGGAATATCCTATGCCCCTCAAGGGCCTCTGAAAAGCTTAAAGCACACAGAGAAATTATTGGGTTTGCGAATCAGGTTAATGGCCATGACCACAGTGCAGGGAGAGATCAGAAGGGGGAAAATACTCTTCCAACAGCTCAAGCAAGAGATAGTGTGGCCCTGAGGGCCTGACTGGGCGGGGCTGCACTCACCCACTAGGCTCTGATACCTCCACAGGCACGCAGAGGAGGCCATGAGGGTTGTTGAGTGTTTTGAGTCTTCCACTCGCTAAGGCAGAGGAGTTGAAGGGAGAATTTAAGAGCTCATTTGGCACTCCCACTGCCAGGATTTGGTGCCTGAGGACGTAAGGGATAAAAGAGGGGAAGGAGTTAGGAATGGCTTCCAGGTTTCTAACTTGGCCATTGGGTGGTGCCATTCACAAAGTCTGGAAATAGACTCCTTAAAATTAGCAGGGAAAGGGCACTGAGTTCCTGCAGAGGGAAGAGCCCACTGTGGAATGTGAGTCAGGAGACGGTTAGCAGGAGGGGATGGTATCCAGTCCTCCCCAGAAGGACCTCTGAGAGGGAAGAGTGCTGCATAGCACATGCGTGCATGCCAGTGGGACCCTCCTTGGTCTCTTGCCCACTCCTCCCCCACCACACCCACAGACACACCTTTCCAGGTCCATTCCTTTTCCAGGACACATGGTGCACGTCCTGGGCTTGGGCCCTAAGCCTACACTTGTCACATACAGAATAGAGAGAGGCCCCTGAGGAGCCAGCAGGGCACACCCATGACTTTCTGAGTCTCCAGGGGCAACCCAGGTCCTTCACCATCTCTTCTGATCCCAGAAAAGGATGGAGAAAACAACGTGGTATTGGGAGACAACTGTGGACTTGGAGTCAGAAGACCTGGTTATGAGGCCCTGCTTAGCCACTTACCGGCCTTGGAACCTGGGGCCTGTCTCTTGACCTCTCTGAAGCCTCATTTTTTTCTCTGCAAAATGGAAATAGTAAAAATCTTGGAGCAAATGCAATGTGACAGTATAGATGCAAACTGATTAGCAAATTGGATTCTTCACACCCTCAGGGGTACATGGCAGAGGTGAGAAGCTACAAAATAAATGTGACACATCTTCTAGAACAACAATTTCACCAAAAACTTTTTGTGGGGAAGACATAGTAACTTACCTGATAAGTAATTTAAAACTTATTTAATACAAGCATGGATGACATCATTGCAAATATCCCATATGTTTGCAATATTGTGCTTGCAGTTGGCACTTGAGGCTATGCCTTCACATTCCCCCAGAGTGTATATCCACTTCATTTGCTTTTTGGGGTGCCCCTCTAGAATTACCAGGGGAAGGGTACTCTGAGAAGCTCTGTAGAACTCCTGGGGGAGATTCCTGAGGGCTTAGGTTCCCAGAATTTGGTGTCATGGGTCACTTTGACTGCACTAACACACACACACAGACACATACTTCCCCATCTGCTTCCCAAGTTCCTGATCTGCCCTGGTAGCATTTCCTGATCAGGAAGCAGGTACAACCAGTTCTCTAGGAAACAGAAGTGTAAGTTGCTGGCTGCTGACTTACATTAATTTTTTTGGACTTTAACTTCCTTCTAGAGTACTTCTCAACCTTGGCTGCACATGATTAATGAATCACTCAGGGAACTTTAAAACATACTAATGATGGGTCCCATCTCCAGAGACTCTAATTTATTTGGTCTGCACTGGGCATGAGGACGTCTAGAAGCTCCCCAGTTGCTTCTCACAGACAGCTGAGGCTGACAGCCACTGGCCTATAAAGACCGGAAAGGGAAGGGAGTAGAGGTGGGCTTATTATGACAATTTCTTCAGATGAGGGACTTGAGAATCAGAGAGGTCCAGGAACTGGCCAAAGGTCACTGCGCTGTGAAGTGGAACATCAATGACGCCAACCAGTTTTGTCTGCTGCCCAAGCCCTCTCCTGTTTCCCTGCATCACGCTGCCTTCCAGAAGAGGGCATACACAAGCCCATCACTCTGCAAGGAGTTCTGCAAGACAAACAGATGGACTGCCAGACAAGACACTGCTCAGCCTGCCAGGGTGAATGAGCTATTCAAAGCATGGGCAAAGTGGATTTCATCTATCTTGGTTAGCGAGATGTTGGTTAGGCAGGGAGGGATCACATCGCTGCAATTCAACAAAGTGGCCCAGCATCCAATAAGTACCTCCACTAAACAGGAAGTAGCCCTCTCTGACCCCTACCCCCATCCCTGCCCTCCTCCCAGACCCTTCTCCTCAGGGCCAGGGCCCAGCGGCGTGGTTCTGCATCCTTCCCTGGTATGCTTCCCTTCCCTCCTGCAGGTGATGCAGCACGCGTGGGTGGAAGGGAACTCCTCCGCCAAGTGTGACCGGTGCCACAAAAGTATCAAGTGCTACCAGAGTGTCACTGCGCGGCACTGCGTGTGGTGCCGGATGACGGTGGGTTGGTGCCCAGGGTGGCCCTGCTTCTTTTCAGTGTGGTTTTTTGCTCAAATTGCAGCCAGGGAGCAGTGGACATCCCACCAGAGGGTGTAAGCAGAGCCAGGGGAGCAAGGCTGGGGGACCTAGAGCCCCCATTCAGTGCTGTAAGTCTAATGGTGCCTCCAATGAATTGCCACACTGCCTTGGAAAGAGAGCACCCCCCAAAAAAGGGGAGCAAGAGCTGCATAAGGAGAAACTAGCCAATCCACCGCCTGTGCGGCCAGGCAGCTGTGAGCAGTGACCATTAACTACGTTCACCTGGTGTTACCTGGGGCCAGGGACACTGACACCTAACTGCCTGCTCCTCAAGGCATCAGAGGAAGGCACACTCCTTACGGCAGCCCCACTGCCTGAGCCAGAGGCCTGCGCCTGCAGCCACCTGCCACCACAAATGTCCCTGTCCCCCCTGGACACCTGGAGCTACCTGAGCTACTGACCAAAGCAAACTCATGCCATGTCTTGTCCCCTTAACCAGGTACCAGCATCAAAAAGGACTTGTCTCCAAATCAGACTGTGGAACTCTTAAAATTCAGGGGTTGGGTCATGGGTTTTACCTCCAGCCTCTCATGAGTCTGCTCAACAAGATCTCCTTCTCCAGAGTCTCAGAAACTAGGGAGCAAATATTTCAGAGTTCTGGAATCCACATGGGGGGCCATGCGGAAGGGTCTGAGCTCATGACCATTTCACTCCCACAGTCATGGGCAGCGCGTGGTCTCCTTTCTCTTCCCACAGCAAACTTGGCACCCCTGACCCTCCCCCACACACATTCTCACACTCACACACACACATGCTCGTACACACACACACGCACACACACATGTTCACACACCCACACACATTTGCACATGCTCACACACTCACACACACACATGCTCACATTCTCACACTCACACACATACACGTGGCTATACCCCCAAAGCCAGCAGTGTGTCAGGATTCAGAGGAGCACTAGACAGCTGCCTCCCCAGCAAACCTCTAACCCTCACAGTTGACTTTTCCTTGATCACTTTCACCTACTCTCTTCGTTTTTTTCTCCAGTTTCACCGCAAATGTGAATTATCAACTTTGTGTGATGGTGGGGAACTCCGAGACCATATTTTGCTGCCCACCTCAATATGCCCCGTCGCCCGGGTAAGTACTGCTGCCCCACCAAGGCTCTGGTTCCTCCCGGTTTGCATGTCAGATGCAGGCAGCGCTCACACATTCACATCCCTCAGGGGTCTTCTCAGTAACTGTCAGGGTCTGTGTTTTCAGGACAAGTTTAAGAGTGGTCAATGCACCTGCCAGATTGTGAGAGAGAACTCCTGATTAAATGGGTTCCAACTCCTGGCCAACCAGAAAGCTCTGAAATAGCCCATCATGGACACATTCATTCTAGCACCTTCCAGGCAGAGCTGAAGGAACCTTAGCCACCTCCTTACATGATGAGGCCTCCCAGGCTTCCCTTCTCCCTGTCAACCTCTCTCCTGTGCCTAAACACGGGCCTCCCTCTGCCTTGAGTATTTCTACTTGGGTGTCTCAGCCCTATTTGGAAATGAAAGCAACAGAATTAAACTCCATTTATCCACATCTGAAACTTTCTCTGCTCCTGTGTTAAAAACTCCTCTTTTAAACCAACTGCCAAACACCTTACCTGTTCCTTTTCCATCTTAAAATGTTGCCAAGTCTCACTGATTTGTCACATCTCATCCTTCACGTGACCACATGCTCCTTTTTCATTAAAAATGAAGAAAAACTACCACTCTAGAAAACCGTTTGGCAGTGTCTACTAGGTTGGAAATACACAAATTCTATGACCCAATACATCCCCTCCTAAGTATCTACCTGAGAAATATGAACACCAAAAGACATGTACAAGAATGATCATATCAACTTTATTTACAACAGTCAAAAACGGGAAACAAGCTAAATGACCACAGACAAGACAGATAAATAAGTTGAGGCAGATTCATTTAATGGAATACTACACTGCAATGGAAAAGAGCTATGCTTAGATGCAAAACCATGGGTAATCTCAAAGACATGATGCTGAATAAAAGAAGTGACACTCAAAAAAAGATGCTCTATGATTTCATTTATACGACATTCAAAAGCTGGGCAAAACCCATATGGCATCACAGTCACAACAGTTATGCCTGATGAGGCAGCACTTATAAGGGAATATATGTATGCAGAAATTTATCAAGCTGTACATTTAGATTTGAGCTTTTTGCTATCTGTGAAATCAACCTCAGTAAAATAAATAATAAATATTAAAAACAGGACCAAAAAAACTAAAAAACTAAAAAACTCTGTATCACATCATTTAGATAGTGCTCAGCGGAGAAGCCCTCTGAGGCCTTGCTTTTCAGAGCTCAAGCTTCTGAATCAACAAAGCAGATTTCTGCCAATTTCCACATTTCCTCTCCCTGTGTCCCTTCCAATATCTCGAAGTTGAAGTCTGATCAAACAATGAGATAGGCCTGGAGAAGCCTAGAGAAACCCAGAGCAGAATGTTTCTATTTTTAGGTCCAAAGTCCCACTTTGAAAAACTCCTCCCACCCTCTACTCGTTTTTGATTCTCTTTCTTGATATTAACTATTTGTTTTTCTTCTGATCTCTTTTTTATATTAGCCATTTTCCCCCCAAATATGCTTGTCTTTCCTCTCTTTCTCACAGGACAGGCAAGGTGGGAAGTCGGATGGCAGCGTGTCAGCCAAGGGTGAACTTGTGATGCAGGTACCTCAGCAGGTCGGAACTGACGGCTCGCTCCAAGCTGGCCCAAGGATGTGGAGGAGCTTGGGTTCTAGAGAAATACATTTCAGCATTTGCTTTCTCACCTGATCACTTAGATCACACAGGAGGACACTTAATTCCCAGCCTCTGGAATTACCTTTGACTGCCACACTGTAGGCAAGTGGTGAGAAGGGAGGTTGGTGGATCCCATGGCTGGCCAACTAGGCTTTATCACCTTTGTAGGAACATGTTACATCAAACTTCACTGTGCACAGCTCCTAAATGATAATAAGGGTGTGGCCTAAAAAATGGACAATGGGTTTTCCAAGACTGCTAAGCTGTCTCCAGAATATGATCTACAAAGTTAACCAGATCTGAAAGTTCCTTAAAGAATATTTAAGACATCATTTTTTACTTGGGTTCACTAACAAACATCTCTTTGTGCCTTCTCAAAGTTCCAGAATGCAGGAAAGGCAGCCTGGTGAGATGCAAAGTGTCCTAGAACAGGAGATACGAAACTAGGGCTTCCTCCTCTGCGTTTGAGGCTTGTTTCCTTGTTTGAAAAGGGGCATAGCAATCACTGCAATGCCCACCTCCCAGGGACCTTCAGGTTAAATGAGAACAGACACATTAGTGTGCTTTGGAAATTAAAATATAAACAATAATGAAATAATGATGGGGAAATGTTAATGAGGTGCGAAAGTTCTGCACACCTACAGGTGAAGGGCGCATATGCACACACACACACACACACACACACAGTGCAGGCACACACCACTTATTACAGCTGCATCCATCTGGTTATCTTGCATCTGATCTGATTGGGCAGTGCCCATGCTGAGTGGGTTGTTAAGTATTTTAATTATCATCCCAGAGGTAAAGAGTTACTTCTCAGGCTCCAAGATTCCTCTGAGTGTCACACAGACAGTCACTCTGGGAATACAAGAAAATTCTTCAAAATTATGAAGACTGCTGCTGTCCATTTCAAATAACATGGGGCTGAGCTTGCTGAAATTTTTAGCTTGAGATCTGGAAAAGTAGGCATTAGATATTATATGTGGAAAGAGGTACATTTCTGTATCAGTCTGTCCTTTAGCTGAATCCACAAATATTTTTGAGTACCCACCCCTGTATCTGGTGTGTACTGTATTATGGGACCCTTGGTAGGAAGGTTTTACACACACTTGCCCTGCTCCTGAAACATTTAAAATCCAGTTAATATTTAGAGACATTTACCAAAGAAAGTTTTAAAAACAAATACAAACAATAAAAATTAAGGTCAACCAGAAGATACTGCATGCTTGAAGTGCAATAGTTTTAGTTGCAGTGATCATGGAAAACTTCATAGAGGAAGTAGCTTTTAAATTGGCCCTGTGGGTGAGAAATTCTTTTAAGAAGTTGTGAAAAATGAAGGGGGCATTTCAAGGCATCAATGAGAAGAAACCCAGAGTAGGAGGGCTGCAAGAGCAGCCCACAGGGTAGGATGCCGGAGACAGACTCACTAGAGGGTGAGAGCACATGTAGCTGCAACAGCAACTGAGGCTTTGAGTCATGTAGAGAAAAGAGTAGAATGGGGCTACTCTGGAATGCCTTGGATGCTGAGAGACTTGGATATTATTCTCTGGGCAACGTGGTGTCATTAAAAGTTTTTGAGCAGGAGAGGCCTGACTAATGGGATGTCCCGGGAGGGAACCGCGTGGGAGCAGCACTCACCGTGGTGGGAAGGGCCCGAGCAGTGTGGGTACTGAGGCAGCTGCCAGAAATAAAGGGACATTCCAAGGAAAAATCTGGCAGGACAGGGTCCTCCCTGGATGACTGGATGAAGAGTAATAGTGCCTTGAACATAAACAGTGAGCCAAGAGAGAGGACCAGTTTTCTGGGGAAAGAAGATAGGTCAGGCTTGGAGTATGTTGAATTTGTACTGATGGTGAGACATCTGGTTAAAGGTACCCATTGGACAATAAGAAATGTGAACCCAGGGCTCAGGAGGAAATTTGGGGCTGGAAATGTGGGTGTGTAATATGCCAGGGTTAAAGTGATGGTTGACTCCATGAGTGGGTTTTTTTTTTTTACATGTATGACCAGATGGCCATACCTTCTAATGTTATATTCAGTTGTATTCCACACAAAATATAATCTTGTGCTATGGCCACAATGCCATACCACTGTTGAATGATTGGAAGCTATGGTGCTGTGCCCCATCTTTAATCTTGACCTCAAACTTTTCACCATTAACACTACTGAAGGCCACCAAAACTGAGAACACTTAGCTGCTTAAACCCTCAGAAAATGCAGCCAGGAGGCAATACACTGCCTCCCAGCTGCCTCTCCCCCATGCCCGAAACTGCTTCCCCTCCACTGCCCCAGATGCTGTCTTAGCATCAACTCTCATCTCGTCCCTCCTACTGGCTAAGAAGGAGCTAATTTCTTTTTCTTTTACCTTTTAAGTATAAGATCATCCCCACTCCGGGTACCCACCCCCTGCTGGTCTTGGTGAACCCCAAGAGTGGAGGGAGACAAGGAGAAAGGTATGTTCTCTTCTTTTTCAAAATGCAGAGGCTGGGACAACCTCACTCAAACAGAGTGAGGGACAACCTTCCACTCAAGAGAGTGGGCTGTGGAGAAAGGCAGGTCTGGCTTCCACTCCCAGCTCTGCCACTTTATGACCTGGCCCAAGTGACTTAACATCCCTATACCTTGGTTTCTTCCTCTGTAAAATGGAGATAACAGTGATTTCTCCTTTCATAATACTGTGAGGACTAAAGCAGACATGGTGCTTAACATAGGACCTGTTTCAGTCAGACCAAACTCTGAGATGCCTGTTTCCTTCCTGACCTCCCAGGTCTTTTCTTGCTTTAAAGATGTGGCAGGACTCACCTGACTGGGACCTCTTGGCCTATCCAGCCCCTGAGAAAGCAGGGCACCCACCTCTGCAGTGAAGGGAATGCCCAGCTTGCTGGAAGCACTGGGAGAGGGAGGAGAGGGCAAGTGGGCTCCACCTCCCAGGCCTGCTCAGCTCTGGGGTAACAGGTGACATGGTGAGCAGAATCCCAAATTTTAAAAATAGTAATTAGGGTTGGAGCAAGAGCTCTGAGAACCCCTATCTCAGTCCAAGGGACAGGGCACCCCTCCCGAACTGACCTGATTAGTCTCAAGCTGGGGCCTTGAAACCAAGCTTAGATGTGATCACTGCCCCCAGCCCTCCCTGCCCCAAGCCCACCTCCTGTGCTTCCTCCTGATTCTGGGATTTGGGGGCCATTTCCACAGCAGGCCCCTTGATGCCTTTCTATCATCCATGAAGAGCAGAATCACACTGTCTAGAACACAGAGAACATTTGGGAGAAGGTCTCCACGAAGGAAGAAGCCTTAGGAGAGCGGAAGTTCTTGTCTCCGGGTTTCTCTGCCCTGCCTTCTCTGCAGGGGGTGATAACTGTGGGGTTGGTAGTGGGGAGGCCCTTAAACCAGCAAGTGTGTGAACGATGCCAGCTGGGCCTGGGACTTCAGGGTCTGCAGAGCCTGCATACAGCCTTCTCCCCTCCTGGGTTTAAATGGACCCACATTCCCACCATCAGTGGGTTCCAGAGGTGTTTGATCTCTTGTGACTTCTCACGATGACATTCTCCTTCTCTGTCTCTCTCTCTCTCTCTCTCCCTCTTTCTTTTTTTTTCCATAGAATTCTTCGGAAATTCCAATATCTGCTCAACCCCAAACAAGTTTTCAACCTGGACAATGGGGGGCCTACTCCAGGGTATGGAGAAACAATCTTCTTATTTCTCCCCCACCCACTTTAATCTCTAAATAAGATACCTTTTCTGTCACCTTTTTTGCCTCTTTGATCAGTGGACTTGTCCTTTCTGGCATTTTACTCTTTTTCTCTTCTTTCCCTTACATCCACTCCTACTTCCTCCTGAAGATACTCAGGAACACCCATTATGGATAACTCTTGGAAGTAGTCTCTTGCACTTTATTCCAGAAAAATTTGTTGATTTTGTAAGAGGGAAAAACTGCATATGCTATTCATTTGATTGACAGGAAGGGTGGGTTGGTAAATTATTTTAACTCATTTGCAAGGCTGTGTTAACTACTATCTTCATACCGAATCGTCAGGGAGGAAGAAGGAGTTTTCTCACTTCTGCCAGTCAGAAGTTCAGAAATCTATACAGCTGACTTGGAGTCCTGCTGCATATTCTGTTGGGGGGGCATTTTAGGATCAAGACAACTGGTTATTCAATGGAATCCCTTTTTAGGGGGGAGGGTTATCCAATTTAGAGGTGGTTGCACTCCTCCTGGCCCTCCTCCTGTCATTTGCCTACTGGCTGTATCACTGCTCATTAGAGAGGGAGAACAAAGGCAGGAGACAAGGCAGCCCCTTTGAGGCTTAACTGAAGGTCTGGTGGAAGGAGCTGGCCCCTGTGTTTGCACTAATGTGGGGGGGCTCCAGGTCCCTGTAATCAGAGGCCCCTCCAGCATGGGGGGCTGGAAGAAACCCCAGGTCTGGGCTTCTCACCAGACAAAGCCGGTGCACTAGGGACACCTGCTGGCCAGCCCTGATGCTGTCTCTGTGCCAGAGCCTCAGATCTGCGCCCACTAGGCTGGCTTTCCGGCACACAGCCACTTGGCCCAGCCTCCTAACCGGCATTTCTACCCTGGGCTCAGCAAGGTCCTCAGAAGGGCTGGAGTAGAGACTCTCAAAAGGGAACCTGCCCCTGTCTTCAGGTGTTTGACACAAAGCTATCATTTGTATGGCAGAGGGAGTGCTAGACCAGTTAAAAGGAGAAGAAATGTGAGTGTAGATACAGTACCACTGCCATGATTTACCTGTAAAACTAATTTAAAACAGAGCCTGCTAGTACCGCTGTGGGTACCATCCCGGTCACCCCAACTGCCAGTTACTGCTGTGGTATGACCTGTGACTGAGCAGCAGCCTGAAGATCCCTTCACCAGCCCACTCCCTTCTAGGACACTTGACTACCTGAATGCAGTGCTTTAGCTTAACTAACCTCATCTCTCCTAAACTGTCCTTGCCCTGGATGACGAGCCTGGTGGCTACCTCTAGGGCTGCTGTGCCCTCGGTATCTTTGCTGGGTCAGTCTGTACTCAGACAAGCTAGCTGGCTGAAGGGAGCCTCCATTCAAGAATTCACTTCCTATAGGGGAGTGGGTTCTGCAAGAGATGGGGAAGAGAGAGAGTGGTGATTTGCCCACATGCGGGTCAATGACTCAGAAAGCCCCAGCAGTCTTCTCAACCACCAGTTTGGGCAAAGAGGAAATACTGAGCTTCAGCTTTCATGTCCCACCCCAAGGTATCCACAGGTCACATTTATTCTAAAGCAGAGGTTTTAAACCTTTTCCTGTCAGTAACCCATTTGTCAGCCTGAAGCCTGTGGACCCCTTCTCAGAATAATATTTCTTAATGCATAAAATGAAATATATAGGATTACTAGGTAGGGAAACTAATTATACTGAAAAACAGTTATCAAAACATTAAGGAACAAATTTGTGATACAGGAATATATGTGGTACAGTAACACATTATATAACAAGATCCAGAGGCAGGTCTAATAACCATTGTAAATTAAAAGCAATGATGAGCGTAAATGATAGTATGAGATATCTGCCACAACTGTAATAAAACATTAAAATATCTGTGATTCTGACTGCTAATAAAGTTACAGATATTGTTAGTACCTCTGATTTATTGCCTACATTCTTAATAGAAAGAAATTCCAAATTTCAGTTAGAATTTAAGGAGGGTAGGAATATAACATTTTCTCCTCCAAGTTCACAACCCTCTGGATTCTATCCACAAACCCCTGGGAGGGTCATAGACCCCAAGTTAAGAGCCCTGCTCCAAAGGGTAATAAGCCTAAGAGAAGATGGTGCTCACTCCACTTAGGTCTGGACCCCCAGGAGAGTGGGATGAAGACACAGCTAGTTCAGTGCATCTGGCATAAAGGGGAGGTTTTGGGGGCAGAGCAGGTAGGAGAGCCCTGGAAGAGTCAAAATGTTAGGGGTTAGTTGTGTTGGTGCCAAAATAAGCAAACTCTGGCTTCCTCTGCAGAGCACGGCTCTCTTTACAAATAGTAAAGAATTTCTAGAAAACTGCTTTCTATTTGTGCTGCGAATATTGAGTCAAATTCTCCTTATACAAGGATAGTTCCCGGGAATTCTCAATACTTAGTGGCATGTTAGTAAGTTCTAATTTCAGAACATTAAGTGGCTCTTTCAACCTCAAAAGGAATCAAGGTCATAACATACTCCCAGGGAACAGGGAGACCCTGATTCAAGGAGTGTCAAATGTCAGCCTGAACCTAGTACAACACTATTTTGGTTTTTCTTCTACTTCCCAGGTTGAACTTTTTCCGTGATACACCAGACTTCCGTGTTTTAGCCTGCGGAGGAGATGGAACAGTTGGCTGGATTTTGGATTGCATTGGTAAGAATGGGCTGGGAAGGACTTGACGGTTTATTTTGAGTAAGCTATATTTAAAGTTAGAAGAAGGCAATAAAATAGAAAGGAATGGAGCCATGTCTCCTTAATCCTTGTTTCCACTCTTGGACCAATGTTTCACTAAGTATGTACTTTGGGTGGAAAAAAGAAAGAAGACAATGAGAGGCTTCTCATAGGTACAGATGTAACAGTTTAGATTCAGGCCTTGCCTGGAAAACATCTGTCAAGGCCAAGGTTTCAGCAGTGGCAGGATAGACCAGGTTGGGGGACTGTGGAGGAGGGGCAGCAGGACTGGGAATCCAGGCAGATCCAGGATGTGGAGAAAGGCCAGAGAACTAAGTGTAGCTGCATAGCACAGAGCAGATCACCTTGAGATCAACAGCTGAAGCCTGAGCCCAAAAAGCAGAACTAGAAAGTGCAGCCCAGTGCAAGCAGAGAAAGGCCACGTTGGGATGTGCCCTAGGTCAGAAAAGCAGTAGGGAGAGCCCAGACTGGGAATCAGGAGGCCTTGGTTCTAGACCAGCACTGCCCAACTCTGTGGGTCCTGGGACACATCACCCCCAGCAAATGATGGAGACTGACTCTGAAATTGTAGAATCAGAGTATATTCAAGATCTAACCCAGGAGAACCCAGATGCACACTGGGACACGGAACATAAGGACAGGAAAGCAAAGGAGAGAAGAACTCAGGTCAGCTGTCATCAAAGTCCAAGACTGTGCCAGAGCAATGAGCCCTTCGGCTGCTTCGGTCTTTCCATCATTCATTCCACAGAGACTGCCTGTGCACCTCCACGTGCCAAGCTCTCCTCCAGGCACTGGTGATGGAGGAGTGAACAAACGGACAAAAGTGCTGTCCTCACAGTGCTTCTCTTCCAGAGGGAAGAGGCAGGCAATAGACAAAGAAATAAGTGAAACATGTAGTGTGTCTGAATGTGATCAAAATAAAGCAGGGAAAGAGCAAAGGGAACTCAGTGGTGGGTGGGGCAGGGGTGGGGGGTTGCAATCTAAAACTGAGTGGTCGGGGAAGACCTCACAGAGCAGATGACCTTTGCATGGAGACCTAGAGGAGGGGGGCGAGCTGTGTGGATACCTGAAGGAAAAGCAGTTTAAGCAAAAGGAACAGCAAATACAAAGGCCCTGAGGTAGGAGCAGGCCAAGCTGCTGAAGGCCGTGGGAAGGCTGCAGAGCATGCCCAGAGTAGAGTATGTGAGGGAGAGTGGTAGAGGATGAGGCAGAGATGGTGCAGGGCCAGGTCACCAGGGCATGTAGGATGTTACACGGAATACAGCTTTCATACTGGAAAATCCTAAGACACCGGAGAGTTTCAAGCAAAGGAGGAGCACAAGAGATTATAAGAAAAGGGTGGAAGCAGGCAGACCTGCAGTAATCCAAGCGAGGTGACTGGCTTGGACCACTGTAGAAACAGAGGAGGTGGTGAGAAGTGTGGTCAGATGCCATTTGAAGGTGAAGCCAACAGGACTGGCTGACAGACCGGATGTGGGAGATGAGAGAAAGAGAGGAGGCAAGGGTGGGCCAGGATAGAACCTGAACAGGGCTAGAAAGGCAGGGCCTCACGGGCTTGGAGGCAGACCACCTGGGGGAGTGGGCCCCGCACCCTGGCATACCTGCCACTTTCTGCTCCCCACAGGCGTTCGGTTTCCATGGACACAACCCTGCCAAGCAGCCACCCACGCTCTCCTGTCACCTCAGAGTTGTTTGTGGGAGGAGGGAGGCGTCCTCTGGGAGCCAAGGAAGGAAAAGCTGATCGGCAGAGGGTGGATGGCTGCAGGATTGTGCGCTGCTCTCAGGCTCCCCTCTCCATAGTGGAGAAGGTGGGCTTTAGTGAAAAGTTTTATAAAATTCACCTGTACAGAGCACTGCTCAAAACAGAAAGAAGGTCATGTGATAGACTAGTGGCCTGAAGAGAAGAGCTAGTGGTAAAAGGAGTAGTGTACAAGGCCGTTCCCTCCTTCAGGAAATACCAATGCGCTTGTTCTGTGTTCTCCTCCCTACTTTGGGCCCCTCTTAGTATGTTTTCCTCCTGAAGTCAATGCGGTTTTTCCTAACTGTCAGTGAGTTCATGATATGCATAAAGCATGTCAGTGGCTTCCCATTATTCTTAGTATACAGGAAAAAAAACTTTCAAATGATCCTCAGGACCCTAGAAGGTCTAGCGGTGGCCTACCCTCCCAGCCTTATCTCATACCTCCATCCCTCCCCTCTAGACTCCAGCTGTACAGTCTCTCTCTCAGACCCTTACATGTATCTGTCTCCCTTCTACCACAGGGCCTTTGCACAAGTTGTTCCTCCTGTCCGGTATGCTTCCCCAGCCTTAGAGCTTTGTCAGTTTCTGCTTTGAATTTCTGACCATGGTTTCATCAGGAGAACCTACCTTGACACATACCCCCAGTCTCAGTCACCTCATTATAAGACCACACTCCTTTCTTTTCCAGTATGAATGAGAAATTATGCAACATTAACATGAAGACCTCATTAATATCTGACTCTCCTTCTTGACTTTAAGCACCATGGAAGCCTGAGCCATGGTTCTTTTGCCCATTATTAGAGCCACAGCACCTAACATAGCAACGTGCACACAGTAGGCCTTCAGTATGTGTGGAGATACTGTGATGAAATACAGTTCCCTGGGGGAGGTTACAGTGCACCCAGGGAACAAATGAGCAGCCAATACAAGAGTATGATAGGATCATCCCTCATGCTAAAGAAACACTTGGAGAGGCACCTGGTCCAGACTAGGGTAACCAGGGAGGGCCACCCAGAGGCAGCATTGAAGCAGAAAAGAGCTTATGACTTAAGGCACTGAAAACACACCTAGAGAAAAAGGCAGAGCATGAAGGACCTAGTATGCCATGCTCAGAGGTGACTGGAGCTATCCAGGAGGTAAAGCAGTGGACTCGTGATAAGGTGCATGGCTCAAGGACTGCCTTCCTTAGTGGAAGTGTGGAGAACACATTAGGAAGTGGAGCTGGAGGCTGAGAGGTCAGAGAGAAGGCAAGTGCAACCATACCATCAGGAAAGAGTCCTATCATACCTGAATGCACGTTGCTATGGGGATAAAGAGAAGAGATGGCTTGGAGACCTATTAAGTAGCACATGGAACCTGACTTATGAATGGATGTGAGGGAGGGAGAGGGAAAACCTAGGATGACATCCAGGTTTCTAGCCTCAACACTGTGAGGATAGTTGACCTGCTGAGATGAGGACAAGGAATAAGGTGCAGATGTAAGGAAACAAAGCCTTCCAGGCAAAAGGAAGAGCATGTGCAAAGGCATAAACACAGACTACATGTTCTGGAAATAATGAGAGAGTCTGTCACTTTGCTCCATCCTCCATCTCAACCCTTCTGGTGGTAATCTCAGCCCTGGGTCTTGCCCAAGCTCAGCCACTTCTAGTATAAGTCAGACAACCTGAGGAACCTATGAACCCCCATTTTTCTGGGGCAGCCCTGGCATTAGCCTCACCAGCTGATTTCTGCATCCCACCTACCCCCTGCCCAACCCCACCCCTGCCCCACCGTGACATGGCTCACATCCCTGGCACTGGGCCCTGAAGGTTATATGAATGGCAGAACTTGGAGCCCGATGGGTGCCTGTGCCTGCTTCAACTTTCCCAGCACAGCCAATGTGCTGCTGTAGATCTGTGGCCAGATTAACACATATGCATTCAGCTGTGCTTTCTCCAGTGGTTCAGTTCACAACCAGCATGGGAAATAGGTTAGGAGTCTGTGTATCTGCAAGTCTGGGAGGTGGTAGAAGTGGCAAACTGATAGCTGGGTGACAAATAACACCTGTTTTTGCTTGTTAGACATGATTATTTTTAAACATTTAAAACTGAGTGGCTTGAGGTGAGGCATCTTCACTTTTCCAAATGCCCCACCATTTCCTAATGCTTCAGCCCTACCTGTTTTACTATCTATGCACTGGCCTACCTCCGCAAGAAAAGAAAGCTGTGGTCTTGGTGTCACAGAGATCTGGTTTTGTATTCTGACTCTGGAATTACTTTCCCTCTCTGAACCTCAGTTCCTTCATCTATGAGGAGAATGATAGTATCTTATAGGGTGGGTGTGAGGGATAAATGGAGTAAGTGCTAGTTATGATTAAAGATTAAAACACCAACTACTGTTATTGAGGTATATTCTGTCACCTCAAATGAAAGAATTTTGATGAAATGAGGATAAACACATGCAAGTTACAGGGAGACATATTCAGCTCAATATGAAAGAATCCTATGTATGTTAACATGCTGGAGATGGAAGAGAGGACTTTAGAAAGTAGTAGGCTCCCCATCATGGGAGGTATTCAAACAAAGAATGCTATGGAGGGGTTCAAGCATCAGATCGCGGATTACTAGATAACTCAAACATTTTGTAATCCCTTGGCATATGCTTCTCTCTTCCTCTGCATGGGTTGCAGATAAGGCCAACTTCGCAAAGCATCCACCAGTGGCTGTCCTGCCTCTTGGAACAGGAAATGACCTGGCCCGGTGTCTCCGCTGGGGAGGAGGTGAGTCTGCATTCACACGGCACTACTCTGGGACCAAGAGCTCCAATCTAGAAGTGGTGTTCTGCAGAGCCAGGCTGGACTTCCCTTTTAGAGATCAAATTCCACAGAGTCATGTCTCCTCCATGACCAGTTTCTCTGGTCTCCACTCCATGCTAAGGCCTGTGCTTACCTCTCACTATACTGTCATCCAGAAACTATCAGCTTAGAATCTGCCTCCCCAATAGAAAATAGTCAACTTTAAGATACAGTTTTATTTGTCTCTTTCCCAGGGCTCATCCCAGTAGGGGCTCACTTAGATGGGTATTTTCTGCATAAAACTTACATAAAAATTATAGATCTTCTTCTAAATGAGGACTCAGAATGCAGACTGAAAAACCACATCACCAGCTACTAGGGATGTCCAAATCATCCTAAGACCCCATGGCCATGGACCTCATTTTGAAATTCCCCTAAGTGGCAACTCAGAATGGTGACCAGCTTACAGGGCAAGGGGCAGGAGCGAAGGGGAATTATGCAAACTGCAACAGTTTCCATGGAGCTGGGCATACTCCAGAGAGTAGAGAAGTTCAGGTCAGCACATGGAATGGACAGATTGGTCTAGCAGGCAGAATTCGGCTGGGATTCCAGATGGCTGATCAATTCAGAAAATGATTTCAGACCAGGCCGGGCAGCAGTTAGTGTTGAGAAATGGATGCATGGTGGACAGGGGCAGAAAAAGCAGGAGTGAGCCCTAGAAGGAAGTTGGCAGCTTGGGCAGAGCTACCAGGGTCCTCAGCCATACTCCAAGGCTAGAGAAGAACCCTCTGGGTTCCTAGGCAGCATAGCTAGGAGCAAATTTCATGCAGAAAACCCATCCCAGTGTGTCCAAGTATCAAGGCCCCCAATCACATGGCTGCTGTCATTGCTCTCTTGAGGGACATCCCCTAAGGAGCTGACTGAAGCCCTGACAGCTTGAAAACACTCCTTGAGGTTACCCCAAAGGTAAGCAGGAGTATGGGAGTGTTATTTGAAAGAACAGTCTCTCCCACTAACCTCTCAGCACTTAAAATTTACATAACAAATTATCATAAATGCAGAGCCTTAGGACATTCATTTATTAGCCCACAGTTCTGTAGGCCAGAAGTCCTGGAACAAAGTGACTAGGTTCTCTGCTCCAGGCCTCACAGGCTAAAATCAAGATGTTAGATAGCCTGTGCTCCTCTCTGAAGGCTCAAGGAAGAATTTTTTCCTAAGCTCATTCACATTGTTGGCAGAATTAGGTTCTTTGTGGCTGTAGGACTGAGGTCCCTGTTTCCTTGCCACTTATAAGCTAGGACCACTCTCAGATCTTAGAGGCTTCTCACATTCCTTGCCAGATGGATCTCTCCATTTTCAAAGCTAGCAGCAGAGAATATCCCTCACATCAAAATCCCTCTTAAGCCTTGAATCTATTTCTTAAGGACTCACCTGCTTAGGTTACATCCACTGAAGATAATCTTCCTTTCTTAAAGCCAATTGTGCCGTATCATATACCTAATAATGACAACCATCATCCCATTTTATTCACAGGTCCTTGAGGGTTTTGCAGGGTATATATACCAAGGAGGCAGGAATAGTAGGAACCATCTTAAAATTCTTCCTACCACACTGTCCATCTCTACATAACACAGACCTGAAACAGATCCTTTGTTCTTCCATGTGCAGCTTCCCAAGCACCCAGCCCACCAACTCTCTAGAGCTTCAGCTACATGCCCTGCCCTCCTTTGGCCAGAGATCCCCATCTCTGCAGCACCAGCTACTCTGGCTCCCAAACCTCCCTAGCTTCTTTCTGATTACTCCCTATTTTCCTCTCCTCCAGGGCTCAGGGAACCTAAGTCTCTCTGGCCCACAGACACACTGGGGAATCTCCTGGTCAGATGCCCATGGTGTTCCCTGCCCTGACAGCTGCCTGTGCATCAGCAGCAACTTAGCCTTTCTGCTCCAGGGGCAAATGCAATGCCATGCTCCACAGGTTATGAAGGGGGCAGCCTGACGAAAATCCTGAAGGACATCGAGCAGAGCCCCTTGGTGATGCTGGACCGCTGGCATCTGGAAGTCATCCCCAGAGAGGAGGTGGAGAATGGGGACCAGGTCCCATACAACATTATGAACAACTATTTCTCCATTGGTGTGGTGAGTTTGCCAGGGATCACCTTTCTGCATGGAAGAGAAATGACTGGGTGGGCAGGAAGGGTTCTAGTCCTCCATCGTCCTCCTCTGGGTCCACACTTTTACCTCCCCCAACTGCCTGCAGCCTTGACCTGCATCCAAGCATCCTTGCATCTGGCCTGGGCATGGACACCCTGATTGTACCAATTCCCCACCAACCCCACCTTGATTATGGAGAAAATTCCCTCCCCTATAATTTTAACTAATACAAGAAGATAAGAAATTTTTCAAAAGACACATTTACTCTTTGGATAATTTAAAGTAGTTAAAGAAAAGCAGCACAAAGAAATGACCAAGGGGAGAGGAGAAGAAGACTCTCGTATGAGCTTCCAGAGTTGGGCTTTCTGGTCTCCCAGGGAGGACTGAGTAGTCCCAAACAGGCTCAGTTGGCTTAACTCTCAGAATTCCTTCTCTCCTGTTTTCTCCCCTCATCTCAACCTCATTCCCCGCATTCCAAGAGCTCAGAAACCTGTGGGGCATCTCCTCCTCAGGCTGAGCAACTTGTTCCCATTGTGCTCACATCCTTCGGGGCTCACCCTGTCAGTGCACTCCGCATAAGATTGACAGGAGTAGTTTAGAGTGCTTGTTTCACACTCCCTCCAACACACACACACACACACACACACACACACACACACATGCCATGTCCCTCTTTCCCTTCCCAGTCCCTAGCACATCTAGCACAAATTACTTAGTTTCGCTAACTCAGCTTTTGGACCAAAGAGGTTTGGGGTGGAGACTGCTTCCCAAATGGTGAGGGAAAAAATGGGGGAGAAAAGGGATCTGGGTTTTGGAAGGAGGATGCAACAAAGACACTAGCATTTTTTGAGCACCTACTGTGTGTTCTCCAACCTGCTAACCTTTATATATTCTTGTCCTCACAACAATCTCACAGGCATCACTGTTTCCACCATCCCCACTTCACAGATGGGGCTTCAGGACACTTGACTAGTAAGGGATGGACCCAGCCCAGTGCTCGGGGCCTTACTCTGAAGCCAGGTTCTTTCCTCTATTTCCCTGTCTTTGGAATTCTGCTGCCCAGTTGCATATGCATATGAGTCCATCCAGACCAACCCTCTCCCCAAGACTCAGTGACACCTGCACTTGTCAACCATCCTCACCTATGCCTCTGTTGAAAATGGTGGTGGTATTAAAAAAAAAAAAAGAAAGAGAAGAGGAAAGGATAAGTAGCTTGAGGGAAGAGCAGGTTTAAGGAAAACCTTTTGTTTTTAATAAGAAGACTAAAAGGAGAACCATGGAAGAGGAAAGGATTTTTTTAAAATAATACCTTATATTTATAGGACTTTAAATTTACCATATGTACAAGATATTTTCTTGATTCTAATGACTATTGTGAAGGGCAGTATTGTCTGCATTTTATAGGTGAGGAAACCAAGTCAGATTAAGGGATTTGCCTTCATTTTCTGACTCCTGACCCAGCATTCTTTTTCTGTTAGTAAAACTGAAGAGAGAGGCATTGTTGGACCATGATCAGGGCCGAGAGAATGGAGGCACTGGACGAGGAGCATACTCAGGGCTCTGTGCGCCCTGATCTGGTTCATCCCCCCCAGCTCCTCTGGTCTCAGTTTGAGGAGACATCCTTCCCTAGGCCTCTTTCAGCTCCCCACTCCAGTGATGTAGGCAGACCGCTCCCTCCTCTCCTAGGGTCAAAGGTGCCTCCCCTCTTTGGACTACCTGCTTAGGCTCCACTTATCCCAGTAGAAACATGCGGTCTTCACCTATTGCAAATCAAATTGGCAGGTCTGGCATTCAAGGGTCTTCCAAGCATGGGCTTCCCACATTACAGTTTCACAAAAACTCTTGTCTTTTTTCTATGGTAACCAGAGCATAACTTGCTAACACTTTTTGAGTACATGCTGCATACCAAGCAGTTTTCCTGTCGGTAGTACTGTCATTACCTTTTTTCATTTTATAAGAAGGCTCTGTAGCTTAGGAAGATACAAAGACAAGTCCAAGCTGGTGAGTGGGGGAGCCGGGAATCACTAGAGCCCACTGGGCTGTGGACCATGAGCCATGTGGCCTCTGCAAAGCCCTTCCCCCATCTTCAGGCTGCCAAACGCTGCAGCCTTTAGCAGTGGGAGTCTCAAACTTTAGTGTGTCATGGCTCACCAGTGCCCTTTGTCAGAAATGCAAATTCCACCCCCATGACAGACCTTGATTTGTATTCTGATTCAGTTGGTCTGGGCAGGGTCTGGGAATTTGCATTTTTAACCAGCTCTGAGATCATTCTCATGCAGATGGTCTGGCCCAAGTCTTTAGTGAGTGGAGTCAACCATTAGAGCAGAGAAGAATGGTCACAGGAAATGGTTCTCACTGGAGCACAAGCTCGACCTGAAATATATGGAGGATACAAAACGTAGAAAGGAGGGTGAACCAGCACCTTAGCAACCAGTCTGAGGCGAGAGCTGAGCAGCAGGCCTGGGAGACCTGCCTGGGAACTTCTGGATGGAATGTTACAGCCTCAGCTGCCTTCAGAGTCTTCAGCCCCAAATCTTGTCTTTCTTAATACATCCAGCTCTGGCTGTCAAAAAAACAACAAAATTCCTGACACATCCCTGTCTATCTCTACACAGTGCTATATATAAAAAATAACACTTGTTTAGTATTTGCTGCCCCAGTGGATAAACACACCAAAAAGGAATAGACAACCTCTCCTCAACTAGACAACCAAGTCTTAATCCCGAGACAAGACTGATCATGGTTTTAATTCCTTCTTGCATGTAAGTAGAAATGAAGGAAGACCATCTGATTGTCCCCCAAGGAAATACATATAAACAGATTCTCCATCACACTCAGTGGTCAAGGAATTTATTTGCCCTGGGCTGACTTATAATAAGCCAATCTGTTCATATTTTCAGTTACAAAGAACTTCACAGTATCTTCCTTGTGATTTATTTTCATGCACCTTTACCTTGTGCTTGTTTAATATTTTATTGCAAAGCAATGAGGAATCAGGACTATTTTTTATCTCCTTGGCGTACCCATAACCTTCTCTCAATAAAATGTTTGCAGGGTTTGTGTGCTCACTCTTTAAAAGTTGGAAAGGGAAATTCTTGAGAAAACAACTAGACAACACGCTACCCTAACAGAATCTGGGGCTGACATTTGCAGAAGCTCTTGCTCCCTATTTGACTTCCCAAACTTTGTAAGAGGAGAAGTAGGCATGTGAACCAACCCACAGTTTTAGTTCCTTACAATGATTAGAGTCAAACAATTTTGGCAAAGAGAGTCTTGCAAAGTCCTTGCCTCTTGTGAAGGACCTGGAATATCTTACTCATATCAACTGTCTGATGCCTTGCATGCATACAGGTGATGACCGTTGCTGTGGTGCCCCTAAGTGATAAAGAATGGCCCTGACAAGTTCATCCAGTCCCCTTGGTGCCAATGGAACCCCTTTAATAGTTGGAGGGGCTAACAGGGCAGCCCCTCTGGGACTGTCTAGGGAGTGACTATACCCTCATTGTCACCACATTCGCGTCACCCACATACATGCCAGCTCCCCACCAGTGAAGAGTTGAAATAGTTGGCCTTCTCTGTCCCCCTGACTGATAACATCCATTGGCAGAAGATTTTAAGCAGTCATGCAGGACACTACTTCCTCTGACTTCTCTGGCCTGCTCTTTATTTTTGGATTTGCAGAAATGTCAGGATGCTCAGGTATCAGTGACAGGAAGTTTGGCACTGCAAAATAATTCCTTGGATATGTGTGACTCTGCCTCAAAGGCTCTGCTTTCACTGACTCTCAACAGGATGAATGGACAGCTAATCCTTTGATTCAATGAAATCTGTTTCTGATGCTAGGGGAACCCAGGGGCCAAGGAGAGGCCACAGTCATCACACTGGCTCATACACCATTTTCCACCTTACAAATGGTACTTATCTGACTTCCGCCAATTTTCCACAATGATAAGCCTCCTACCTGTTAGGGAATCAACAGATCATCATTTGCCCTGCAAACTTCTGGATTCCCTCAGCCTCAGGTTCGTGACTGTCACCTGTGAAAGCCGTGGAAGTACTAAGACGATGGGACCCACTGAGACGTATATTACACCAAGGGGTCTACACTGTTTCATTTCCAATCTGCCCAAATGTTTCGTAACAATCCACATTTCAAATAATCTAACTTATGGTCTCCTTTGTCTTTTTATCTCCCTAAGTTGCCAAAGTGACTTAGACCTGCTTTGTCCAAAATGGTAGCTATTAGCCCCGAGTGGCACTGGCCCTGGCAATGGGGCTGGTCTACACGACAGATGCTCAAGTGTAAACCATACGCCAAATTTAAAAAATGTGGTATGAAAGAATTTTAAATATCTCAGTAATTTTATGTTAACTACATGTTGTAGTGATAATATTTGTTAATTAAAATATGTTACTAAAATTAATTTCATCTGGGTTTTTTTTTTCACTTTTTTAATATGGCTACTAGAAAATTACACATTTATTTCTACTGGACAGCCCTGGCCTAGACATGCAAATATCTCCGAATCCAAAAGACTGCTGCTTATATTTGGAAAGGGCACAAAAATCTTGTCCAACCATGCTCTTGGAGTTTTCGTTCAAAAAGAGTAGCTCACCATCTCGTCTTTACCCTGCACCTCACAGCAAGGACCCAGGAGAGTGAAGCTGTCAGAAATGCCATCAGCACTTCCACGGCTTTGCAATCCCCATCTCCAAGCTCCTCCCCCTTTGGAAAAGAAGTTTCATGGTGCTGTAATTACTACCAAGAAAGGGTTTGAACCTTTGTAATTCTGTTTCCAAAGTTTAAATGAACTCACCCCTGAATGTAAATACACCCCAGCTCAGTGGCTGACACAGAGCTCAGCCACTGAGCTAAAGGCCCATCTTCACTCTCTTTTTAATCCCCAGGTAGAGAAACATGGTCAGAGCCTTGCCCATGATTGCCTTTCAAGACTGAACAGCAAAGGAACGCTCAGTTCTCCCTTGCTACTTTGTCTATTTACCAAGGGATTTGATTGTCAAATGAGGAGCCACATGCTTAACTAATAATATTGTAAAGACTGGTCTTTGTGAAAAGAAGCTTTGCAAAACCTAGTTATGAAAACACCAAGGATAATCAGAACTACGCAGAAGAAAGGGCCTGTGCTCTTATCCTGGAGAAGGAAAAACCCAGGAGCCATTCACAGAAGTATTGGGGTGGGGAGGGGGGGTATAGTGAAGTACAAATCATGCAGGCAACATGTAATTGCTTTTTCCTTCACTTTTCCTTTACTTTCTTTTCTTTTCTTTTTACCGACAGAAGAAAATTAGTACTTCAAAGGAACACAAGTAGATGTAATATTATCCTGAGTTCTAGAGAAGCATTTGACAGATGTCACATGAATCATATTCAGTGTTCACTGAAACTTGCTGAGAGAGAGGGAGGTGGGTGCAGTCTGGGAGCATGAAGCATGGTGCCTGGGGAAACTGTGCAGGCAGCACAGGCCCAGGGGACAGAGGCCTCCCAGGCTAATCTCCTACTGTGTGTCCACAGGGCCACCTGACCAAGACCTTAAACTCTTGATGTGTCTTAAAGGAAAAACTAAAAAGCAAATTAATAATAGAGCTTAAATGTTAAATTCCCAAGGCATTATTTCAGCAAGGAAGGTTGGCCAACGACAAAATAAGCCCATATCCTTGACTTGCCCTCTCTGGTTTTCGGTACTGGACTGCTATCTGTTTTAACTCCTCTGCCAAGTGCAAATATTACAAAAGCTCCTCTTTGCCCCCTAACTTGCTTCTGGACTTTCTGTCCCCACCATCAGCCTGTACGTTCCTCACCACACACAGCACATGCTCAAGAAAAAAAAGCTTTTTTTGCTAAACTATACCTTCTTATGTTAAAAAAAAATTCAGAAATTTTCTTTTGTAGAGTTTCCATATTTAAAAAAGAAATTAATATGCATTAGCTGAAAAAATCTCTGTATGGAAGCTCAGTTCTCTTTTAGCCACATATTCCAATAGATGAGTTTCTGTCTTTCTCTCCTGTACTTATCTGAATCGACTCCCTTGTTCCTATGTCACTAACTTCACCATAGGCCCATTCACCTGTTTCTTTCTAAAGCTACCGCCTAAAGTGCTAGCAAGGGGTCTAAGTGGTGAAGGGGGCTTACACATTCTTCTACTGGAAAGCAAGACCATTCACAAGGGTAAAAGACCAAGTTCAAGAAGGAAAGAGGAGTTCAGTGTTAGGTCTGAAGCTCAGGTTTGGTTCTAGAGCTGAATGTTGTGGAGACATCAAAGATGCTAGTAACAGCTAGAAGAGCTCAAGATGCCCACGGTTTGGAATATAGGCTGTAGAGATGATCCAACCCTGGACTGTGAGGTTGGTCACAGGATGGAGCACCAGAAGCCTGGTGTCTTGGGAGCCTTCCTAATTGTGAGTTCTCAGGAGCAGGTGGCAGATAGTGCAGGAAAGGGGTGTGCTAATAGGAGGATAGCAAAGTGTCCATAAAATTCAGACTCTTATTGACCTAGGGGAGAGTTGTTTCTGTAGAGTGATCAAAAAGCAGAAGCTTAAATATTTTATTATCTGCTACACGTGCAATCTAATGTTACTAATGATTTGTACTGATATGGATGATTAAGAATCAATATATACAGCATCTACCGACGTCAGTTTCGGCTTTGACAATGTGCTACAGTTATGTAAGGTATTATCAATGGGGGAAGCTGGGTGAAAGGGACACAGGAACTCTCAGTACTATTCTTGCAACTTCTTGTGCATCTTAAAATATTCCAATATAAAAAGTTTTTTTTTTAAGAGTTAATATGGGGAGGCATTTCCAAAGCATCACCGTCAGCCCCAGGCATGGGCTTCTGCAGTCTAACTGCTCATAGATCCAGGCACCCTCTCTCCTGCAAAGGCAGCAGGTGTCCCCTTCACTTCACTTCCCTGACCTGTGGCTGGGTGGAGAGTGAAAATTGCAAGGAGTCGAGTGGAATTAGCTCTTCCAGCTTCAGTAGCACTAGCCCCTAACCTTGGACCTGGTGTTCAGCCTTTGGGGCAGCCTTGGTGTTCTCACCTGGAGACTAACTCTCAGGGTTTGGGGGGTTTCAGTGAGGGAGCGCTTGCTTACTTTCCACAACGTACAGTGACAACCACTAACCAGGCATCTGCTTTCCCTTTCAGGATGCTTCCATTGCCCACAGGTTCCACGTGATGAGAGAGAAACATCCTGAAAAATTCAACAGCAGGTAAGAGGGCCTCAAGGCTGCAGCCAGCTGAACTGCCCACCCGGCCCTGCGCCGCCGCCCTGCCAGACCCAGGCCTCCACCTGGTCTCATCCAAACTTTATTGACCCGGCAGTCCAGGGACGTGGGTTTCCTGCCATGTTGCCAAAAGGAGAGTTTCCATTTGCAGGAAGAAAATAGTGTCAGAAACCTGCTGCCGCCTGGCCGCCTGCACCCTCCCAGAGGATAGAGTACAGAGGGAAGGCGTGCTATGCCTGCGTTTTGCGGGCGGGCGGGTGTCTGCTCTTGGCTAACTGGAAACCCCTCCTGGGCTAGGCCACAGTCTCTGAAAGAGAACCTCCCATAACCCCAGCCTCTGAGCTTCCTCTGGAGAGGCAGGCAGGGTGGCAAGTGCCTCAGCTTCTCCTCAAGGAGGTAGGTGGCGGCAGCTCGCAGGCCAGGCCCTGGAGTGCCGAAAGCACATCACCTCCATCCCCATGACAGCAGAGAGCAGCAGAGGGAAGGCCCTGCAGCAGCAGCCAGCCCAGGAGCCCAGCGCAGAAGCCCACCAGATCCCAGCCTCAGCCTGCGCATCCAGGGTGAAGTCTGGATGTTAGGTCTAAAAATGAGAGAGAAAATCAGATTACTTGCAAAAACCAAACCCTTCTTGCTGGTGGGAGGGAATTTGCAAAGAAGTGAGTTTTGATTGACATATGCCTACCCATGGAATTGTTAAATTCTCTTTATCCATTCTTCCTTCTTCTCTTTCTCTACTCTTCAGTTAATTTCCATCCTTTCTCCTCTTTGTTGTGCCATTTCAAGATCACCACTGAATCCCACCCCACTGTCAGGCAGGTGGAGAGGAAGGACTCAGACTGAGCCTGAAGGGAGTGACTTAGCCCACAGGATTCTCTTCAAAGCAGAGGTCCTGTGTTATCTAAAGACATTCATTTAAAGCCCCACACCCGCGAAGAGCTCACCATTTCCATTCCTGCTCCTTCCCCCTGTCCCCACAGCCTGGGAGGTTAACTAGAAAGAAGAAAGGCTTTTTAGGAATCAGAAACTGAATGTAATGAAGCTACTTCAGCTTCAGGAAAATGCTCTGTAGGATCTAATAGTCACTGAACTTAATCTTCTTAGGGTGGTCATTATTGTCACAGGCAGATCCCATCTTGCTGTCTCACACACAGACCATGCACACTCTTGCAACACAATTCACATGTACACTTTCAGCCGCTACGCCTACTATATTCACAAATTTACAAATCAACTGAGTCTCCTCTCACTATCTTTTTCAGTCTCCTACATCTACTACATCACTGTTAAATACTCCTTCTCTTCTACACATTCCAGACTTCTAAAATCCTCTTTTCACATAGGTACCCTTATGAATACTCATGCACATATGCTTGTTAAGGTGCCAAATTCTTGTGAAATCCATGGGGCTTCTGTTCATTCATTCCTTCATTCAACAGTATCTTTTGAAAAAATACTACAGTATCAGGCACTGTTCTGTAGGTGTTTCGGATAAACACGTGTAGGATACTCACAGTCCAGTGGTGGAGACTAGAAAGCAGATATGTACAATGCTTTGCATTAAGTGGTCTGAATTGAGATGACCTTAGGAACACAGAGCAAGGGCATGGAACTTGGTGTGGAAAGTCTTCCAGCCACAGAGATCCCCAAACCAAGAAAACTAGTATGTATTTTCCAGGTTGACAGAAAGAGATGGGCAACCCAGGGAGAAGGAACCAAATGTCCAAAAAGATACCAAGGTATGAGCAAATGCAGCATGCCTGGGGAAGAGCAAGCTGTGTACTGTGGTCCCTGTGAGCTCTCCTGGTGTGGAAAGAAGCAAAACCTCTGTAGTTTGTGGAGAGCAAGGAAGCAGAGGGAGGGAGAAATTTCACCATATTCTAAAAATCAGTAGATGGGTTAATAAATGACACAAAGAGAGCAATCATCAATCATCTACATGATTAAGTACAATCAGAAAATATTGTAATTGTGCATTTCACTGCAAAGTATGAGCAAATTCACTGTGATCTGAATGGCTGTTTTCCTTCCCACTCCCAGTTCCATTAACAAGACTACTCTTTGCAGTTAGGTGCATATCTCACCCTTCACCTGGCTGAGGTCAAGGGAGGAGTGTGGTTCCTGGGATGCTAGGCACGGGGATTTGCAGGTCAATGCATGTGCATGCCAGTCAGTGAAGACAGAGTGGTGCAGAGGGAGACCCTGTTTCACAAGGTCCCAGAACATTTCTTATTAAGAACTTTCTGTCCATGTGGCTTCTCCCTTGCCTGTTCATGTTGAAAATACCCTGGAGTGCCCCGTTTGTCCACTGAGAGGCAGGCAAGCAGCCATTTTCTCCAGGCTTCCTTATTTAGCTGTGGAGATGGTTTTAAAGAGGCAGGTGGTTGTCGCCATGGTTACCCAATTACACCAGTGGCTAAACTTAGGAAGGGCCACAAGGGATAGGAAGAAAGCTTGATACCCGGGATTTGGAAATGTAAACGATATTATCAAACAAGCCTTCATTTTACTCAGCTGAACTTAAGTTTTCCACAGAGTATTCTCTGCTTGGCTAGATGCTCTTACCCTTCAAGCCCAGGACTGGGCCCTAGGGTGTAACCCTGAAGTTAAATCTAGGGAGCTGTAAATGTTTTGTTTTGCTTTGAACAAGGGAGAGTGACTAGTCAAGGCTAGAATTTATCAGGAAACTTGAATCTTTCACATTGCTCATTCTGTTTTCTGGGCTTTTCTAACGAGAATTCTTAACTATACAAAGGCTGCAGGAGCTCTGAGAACACACTGTAATTATATGAAAGACTAAATAAATTTTTCGGGAGAGAATGTCCATAACTCTCAGAAGGTTCTTGAAGAGATCCATAACCCTCAGATGGTTAAAAAAGTCACAGTTCTGAAGCCTCTTTGAATCCTAAGAGGTATCAAATTATGGCTCAACTGTTGGGGTTTCAGGAAATTCCCCCAGTGGCTTTTCTATACAAGTTGTTGCCAGGGAAGGTGGTTGTTTGCACAAAACTAAATTATGTTCCCTGGCTGAGTAACTTGGTTAATGGATTGAGAACCAGAACCAGGATGGAAGAAGATGAGCCAAATGTGGTGAACAAGGATACAAAGACCTTCAATGGCAGAGATTCTACTTCCTAATCATTGACAGGCTAATTATTAATTGCTCATTTAAATATATTAAAATTATCATCTCATTGCTGGCATATACAACAGAAGAGAGATTTAATTCAATGAAGATCTTAACATGAGTTTGAAGATGTTTGAGGATACAAGGGTAAATAAGACATGGTTTCTGCCTTCAAGGAATTTACAGTCTAGCAAAGATGGAATAATGATCCTCAAATATGTTTTACAAAATTATCTTCACAAACAATGAGGTTACATTTTGTAGGTCATATAATATGCAGGAAGCTGTATAGTGTAAGACACTTATTTGTGGTTGTATCCCAACATCACTTGAAAATGAATTGTTCAGAGTGCAGAAATAGTGGCATAAGGGAACCCAACGAAGAACTGTCATTTCTTGAGCTCCTACTAGATACCAAGTGATAAATTTGGCTCTTTAACTACATTAGATTATTTTTAATCCCCAAACCACCTTACAAAGTAAATATTTGCATTCCCCTTTTACAGATAAAGGCACTAAGGCTGTTAGAAGACAAGTCACCTACCCAAGGTCATACATCTTTTTTAGTAGTGGGGCTGATAAGATCCTAAGCTTGCTCCTAACTCTTCCAGAGTTCAGGCTCTGTTTTCTGCACCTGCTGTCTCCCATAGATTTTATTTCAGACATCTATTGTGCATCAAACACTCTAATGGGTACTTTATACATGATACCACTCAATGCTCACAATAACATGCAAGGGGAAGTGCTATTGTCCCTATTTTAGAAATGAAGAAAGTGAGACTAGAGAGGGTACAGCTTTTATCGGCTGCATCCACCATTATGGACTGACTGCCTCTGTGGGAAAATGCCTGCTGAGTTCCAAAGGGGGATCCCAGGTACACCACTCACTCTTAACCTGTGTGGTATGACTCTTCTCCCTGTCTCAATGACCAAGTGAACAAGGAGGACCGACTGCGTGATCTGCATGGCCCATTGCAAAGGTAAAACGTGGGGCCCTTGTTCACAACTCAGAAACTTCATGGGGCACTGGTTTCTTGAATATCTGGGAGACTTTAGTGGGATCCTCACTTATTAGCCAGTACAACTACTGCCTGTTTGAGGAATTGATACTCCCTCTCCCTCCTTCCCCCGTTGAAACCCTCTTTCCGCTATTCTTTTACCTTTATTGCATACTCCCCACTCTGTAAGCCCTGGCAAATGGGTCTTTTTTTTATTAGTTAAGCTGAGTTCCTCCTTTGGAACTCGGCAGGCATTTTCCCACAGAGGCAGTCCATAAGGACGGATGCAGCCAATAAAAGCTGTACCCTCTTTGGCCCCACTTTCTTCATTTCTAAAATAAAGACAGTAGCACTTCCCCTTGCATGTTATTGTGTGTTAACTCTCTGTGAAGGGTTTGGCATATATGGTGTATATACGTAAAAGCTATCTAATTCCAACGTCACTGTGGGTGAGCATCCAGAAAGAAAAGTCTAGCTGCAGGATTTTTTCGCTGTTGGTCAGAAACTCAGAGCACTTGAGGAATGTGTTATTCCAAACCTGTTGAGTGCCACCCACTTGACTATGTCCACTAGCAGTTTAGGCTGAAGCAAATATTTCCTGTTAGGCCCTTCAAAGGGACCGACACAGCGCTTCATTCCTACCGAACGCAGACCACCTTTCCCAAAAGCCCTTGGGTGATTAACAGGCTCTGGTGTATTAGCTTTCTTGGAGCCAGGCTCATGGAGTAGCTGATGAGGGGTTCCCCAGAAGCCCTAATGTAACCTGAGTCCTTAAAAGGTTAGAAATACATCTTGCAAATAAGCTCTCAATAGATATTTATAGAATGAGGCAGTAGGGTATAGTCTAAGTTGGCATCAAAACT